TACAGCTTTTAAATGTTGTACAATGTACAGTTCGCTCACATAATGTGGGTCCCGCAGGTTCCACCCTCCATGTGAGAGGGCTGTAAGGTATGTTGTACATGTAGCAAGTTTGTTATCGCAACAGCAAGTTTGTTATCGCAAAATCTTGCTGCTGACGAGTTGTTATTCATTTTCCAGATCTGTGGATTTCTTGGGTTGTTCTGAATTATCACGAATTAAGGTATTTTGGTTAGTTTATGTTCACTTAAAAAAAAATCTGAGCATGCTGTTATATATATATATATTTTTGATGACTCAGGTGTTCGAATTTCGCCCGACTAATCTTGAAGAGTGGCGGTCTTCCCCCCTGGTTCGTCATTCGGGTAAATCCGGATGCAGTCACAGCTTATACACGCTTGGATCGGACATTCGGGAAGCGGTTCTCCTCCATGTGGACTTCCCTTTACGACGTGCAGACAAGACCTCCTGAGGGGCGACAAAGTGCACTATAACTTTGCTACCAGAGGACATCTGCCTTCCAACATAAATGTTGCTTTCCAACTATCGCGAGAATTCTAACATCTGATAAATCCGTAGAGGGTGCGTCATGCCCGTGGGGGGCGAGCATGCTGTTATTTTACTATGATTCAGTACATCAATTACCTGTTGAATTTAACACCAAAAGAATTTATTATTTTATTTATTAATAACAAACTCTTACCCGATTTGGGACTAACTTTACTGCAGTAGAGCTCAACTGAAGCAAGCAACCTCACTTTCTTTTATTTATTACTCCACTAACACTCAATTCTCTTTCACACACTACTAATACATGCTGTCTCTCTCAGTTTCTGACAAAGTCGGTGTGAGAATAAAGATCTTTTCACGCCTCTCTTCACCACTATTTATAGATAAAACAATGGCGGTGGCTTCTTCTTCTTCTGCATAGTTCTTCATTATTCTAGATAATTCTTCCATGGAAATAAAATCAGCACTAATCCTTCCAGATTCTTCTAGCTATGGCAGTGGAGAGCAAAAGATTTAGAGGCTTCCAGCAACTTCCAAACTCTTCTTGAAATGTCAGTGGTGATTTCTTCATTACCTGCTACGATTAGTTGAGAATTTGTAATAATGCAGAACCATCTTGCACGATTTTTTACGAAATTTCATATATTTTTTATCGTGTGCTAAAAAATGAAGCTGAAATTGTCTGAAATCAGTAATGCTTTGATAGTATTAATTGGATTTGGCAAGCATATTGTACTGATCTTTGTGAAATTTTTTGGTGCTGATATTACTGTGCGAGTCACATTATATATATTTAATGAATCAATCAAGATTTTGCATCTTGCAAAAATACAGATATTGTTTGATGGGTCATGCTACATCACAATAGGGGGGGGACCACATCTTGATATTTTTTTATTCACGCGGCCCGCGTGCATGTGAGAGGGGGTAAACAATTCGGTAGGGGGTATCATGTACAAATAGATTTATCCTTGTTTGATACTGTGGCATTTCGGTGTGTGACAATTAGTGTGGTCTGTGGTCTTACTTACTACACAGTTTTAATGCTTTTTTTTAGATTGAATTATACTTGGTTCTTGCTAACATCTCATCCATAGTGTTATATATTTATTGATTCTACATTGAGATTTCCACTCACCTTTTAGAATTCTGTAATTCTACTCTGCTCAAACTTGTAGTGTCCGAAATTGGTGTTTTTCATCCCAATCTAATCATATTGAACTATAATCCTCTGGCAGATTGGATTCTGAACTTGGTTATTGATATTCTTCGATCAAGATGAATCAATCTGCCTATGCGTTCGGAATTTTAGGTATATAGTGTTGTGTTTCTATACTATAATATTGTGCATGCATGGTTTCCTAATTCACTTTTGTTTGAACAACTTTGCAGGAAATGTTATTTCGCTGATGGTGTACTTTGCACCTGTGTGAGTCCACATTTTGTTTTTATCATGTTCTTTTTAATAATAAATTAGTATTGGAAAATAATTATTATATTTTTTGCAGGCCAACGTTTTGCCAAATTTATCAGAGAAAATCCACTGAAGGATTTCAGTCCATTCCTTACATTATTAGTTTATTTAGTGCACTATGTTGGATCTATTATGCAGTTCTCAAGCCAAACAGCATTGTTCTTATTACAATAAATTCAGCTGGCTGTCTCATACAAATTACATATATTTGTTTGTACCTATTTTATGCAACGAGAGATACTAAGGTACGTAATATCAACTTATAATTTTATTTTTAGTGAAATACCTTAATATATATTTTAATTGTAACAGATGCACACGTTGACTATGGTTGTCTTGCCAAATATCATTGCCTTCATTCTGATCATCCTACTGACTCAACTTCTAATGGAGGGCGACCAGCGTACCTATGTTGTTGGATGGATTTGCATTTTCTTTTCTCTATTGGCATATGTTGCACCTTTGTGCATTGTGGTAATTTAATTATATTTTCTTTATGTTGTGATAATTTATTTATGGTATTATATTAACATTTATTTTTTTACATCAGGGAAAAGTCATTCGAACCAGAAGCGTCGAATACATGCCATTTCTTCTTTCACTTTTCCTCACTATAAGTGCTGCTGTGTGGTTCTTTTACGGCATAGTGCGAAGTGATTTATCTATTTTGGTAAGTATACATACATACATACATACATATAGAGCATATATTTACAATTCCAATTGATTTTTGAATTTGTTCTTTTTGTTAGTAGATTCCGAATATGCTTGGCTTCATCTTTGGTATACTTCAATTGACTTTGTATTTCATATACAAGAATGCAAAGGAAAATGGTGACGAGGAAATGAATGAAATCATTGCAATTGAAGAGGACAATAGAGAATGTTAGACTATTGATGTAAACTTTAGTTTATTACAAATAAATGATATTTACGTTGAGAATGTAAGTTCTACAAATATTTCATTTATATTAATGCACGTTTTATTTAACTATGACATTTTCCAAGCATTAACTTGTAATTATTTCATTCGATGGGACTAATGGTTACAACGTGGCGTGTTTTGTTTTTGCATCTAAATTTGAAGGATTTTTTTTTTTTTACTTTTTTTAAAATAAAGGATGAACAATCAAGGGTAGGCCTCATGTCAATAAAAGCTTCTGACCTTTCAGGGGAGAAAAAGAAATTGAGTAATCGAAATCCTCTAGATGAGTAAAGTCTTCGATTATAGAGCGCGAGATAAATCTCACCTTTATCATGAATATATACGCATTGCTTGGGGTGCTTGGGGTGCTCCATGACATTGACCAAGAAACCAAAGACGAAGCTATTGTGGCTCATAGAAAGAGACTTACTACTGCCCAAGATTTAATGAATTTCCCAGCTAGATCCAACTGCGAATAATTAAGAACCTTCGTGGCGATTGCCATAATGCACTGAAGATCATTTCAAGAATTGTTGGTAGGCTAATCATTGCTCAAGATGCCAAGAGATTTCACCATTTTGAGGATGGAAAATGACTTCTCTCTCTCTCTCTCTCTCTCTCTCTCTCTCTCTCTCTCTCTCTCTCCCTATTCTTCATTTTTGCTGCTCTGCATGCTCTGTTTTTCTTGTTTGTTACAGTACTAGATTTTTTTCTNAACACAGTATAAACATAAGGGAACAATACATAACTTCTAGTTTTAAAGATCACATTTCATAAATAACAAATTCATTAAAATATTTCTAAAATTAGGTGGTAAATAAATTTATTAAATACTAAAATACAATATAATATAGATTAATTATTTCTACCAATGTCACATCACCTTTCCCATCCTATCGCCCCACTACACCACCTTCCCTCCACCTCTCCACCGAAGACAGCCATCGACTCCGGCGGTGGCTACGACGATCACTTCGGCTGCAACTTCAGTGACTGTTCCGACGATCACTCTGGCTGTCGCTTCGACAACTTAAGAATTTTCAGAAAATTAAAAATTGAAAATCACACTCCCACCCCATGGATCCACCTATGACCACCCCCATTCGCTGACACATGTCATCAGTGACTAATTGTGACCAAGTTTGTATTCAATGTGACTAACTGTGACCAAATTTGTGTTCAGTGTGACTGTGTGTGACTAGATCAATCTCAAGTCACAATCGGTCACAATCAACACAAAATTGGTCACAAACAGTCACGACAAACACATACTTGATCACATAGGTCACCACAAATAACCAAGGGCATCGAATGAAACTGCACCTTTTGTATCGTCAATGCTTCCTACAACCCAAGTCATACCTTCTCCAAAATTCAGAATGGAATGGATATCAGGCTGCACCATATTTAACATCAGAGAGGAGCTTACCTACACCCCCGACATTTTCCATGAACGAGTTACCAACTTATATGAACTTCCCAAATCAACATCAACA